GAGGTATTGGATGTTGATTACCTGATAGTTGTCCAAGGGCTTGCATTGAAGTCGCACTCTTTACTGCATTCTGCGATAGGTATAATCAGCATCTATAGACCGCAAAAACGATAGTATTGTCTGGCTCTGAAATAAAATCTGAGCTGCGAAGAGTGCCAATCTTGTGCCTAATACGTTTCAAAATGCAACCGGATTATATGGTCCTCGCATTTTTTGTAGATTCTCTTGTGTGTCACTTTAAGAAAGGTTTTGATGGGGTAGGTGGGTCATAGGGCTGATATATATAATCTTTGCACTTTCTAGCATTTGGTTTTTTAGTGGTAAAGGTAAGATGCTTCGTAGGATTTTTCCTGAGTTGCTAAACATTTAATTGTTTTTCTTCATTACTTTCGGGAAGTGTAGGTAGGAATTGTCGGGACCCTCTTTTCCGTTCTTTTTAATACATTTAATGTAGAATCGAGGTATAGAAGAGTGTTTTCACTCAACTAGATACAAACAAAAAATCCAAAATGGGTCGTTAAAAAATTTAACTCCGCCATAAACAGAAGTTCAGCTTTGGCAGATATTTACATCCTCTTTGAAAAAAAAACGGAGGGAACTTCAGCGATTGCCTCGCTTTATGTGACAACACACAACGGGTCAGTCGTGGGAGTTTCAATGCAGTCGGTCAATACGGTTGGCAGTGGTGGACGGTCAGTTATAGCCGCGGGCCACAGCCGGTTTATGAAATTTTAAACGCGGAGGGTGAAAAGTTCCTGGAAAATAGCTTGAGGAAATTATGAACGAATCGATAGAATATTGCATGCGAACAAAGGGGATTAATGGCCTGAAATCTAAACAGAGACGCGATTAAGCGGAACGGAGAAAAATATTTCTTATTGATATAGCTTACAAGAAAATTGAAAAATTGCTATGTGTAAGGAATTTTATCACAAAACAATAAATGTAAAAAGACAAACTGAGAGAGGTGTAAATTAACAACATAAATGCATAGCACAATTAAAACAAAAAAATATGTATAAAATAAAAAGTTCTACGACGGCTACGACAGTCTGGATTTCAATCTTAAATATATTAAACTGCTGAAGAATCTACAGCGCAAATTTGTAAATACTATAAATTGTGAGTTAATAGATAAAGAATTTTTTTAGTTGTAGTGAAAACCTCCATTTTCATTGTATGTAGTTTTGATTAGTTTCACTCAACAAGCACACATTAGCTGGATATTATTCAAACTCTATCTCTCCAATTATCAGATGTAGCTGTACTTATAACAGAGTTGAAAACGAGATTCGGGATCTGGACTTATTTGCTTTAAGCTTTTGAAGCATTTACGCGACACCTAAGACGGTATACCATTAATGTAAATGACAATAAAAAACTGTAGTTTATTTTTTAAGTGGGTTTTGCTTGTAAGGAATAATTTGAACTAATCGAATTACTATTGATCTTTTTGTCATATTTTGTGCTTTCCTTTAATTGGACAAAGTATAGGAGTTGTTTGTGAATAAATAAATTGGTCCCTCGTAGAGTGTTCTGATAGTTATTGTAGAGCATATAAAGAATGCTGATGCCAGATAGTTAACAAAAGATTCGAACAATTTAGAAAATCTGCCCTGTCTACAGCTTCTCGGACTTATTTACATTTTATTAATTTATTGGTTAGTTAAAATTTAAATTATTTATAAATTAAAATTTACCCAAAAGGCATTTACTTCAAGAATTAATTTATATATGTAATGTTTTTAGGATATAATTTTTGCTTCAAAATACAATAATGCCAGAATTAAACAACCTGCCCGACAACTTGCGGGAGAACATTAATTTCAGCAAGATAGCGCTCCCTATTATTGTGGCCATCAAGTGATAAATTTTTGAAGAGTAAATTTCCAAAATATAATTAGTAAAAATGGTGACATTGCGTGGCCACCGCGAAGTCCCGATTTTACACCCACGGACTTTTTTTTGTGGGGCACTTTAAAGGATTTTGTGTATAAATTGCTAAATAACTATACAGTTGATGACTTTAAGGAAAAGATTAGACAAAAGATTCTTGCATTAAATAATAGTGATGCGGTTAGAAATGCGGTCTCCAGTTTTTTTTTAGTTATTCGTTTCTGTTTTTTTTGTTTTATAGATTTATTTATTCACATTTGTTATCTTCTTTTAATTAGCCTATAAACTTTAATTATTTATTTTTATTAGGTATTTTCAATCAAGCTAGATAATTAACTATTAAATATTTCTGTATATATGAATTCTGAAGTTTTGTTAAATGTGTTGAAGTGTGTGTTATTGAGTCGATTTTTTTCAAAACTTCCACGTATTAATGGACACTTTGTATTGTTAGCAAAGTTTTTATTCGTATATCTGGAGTATTATATCTTTAAAAGAAGTAGTATCATGTCTTTGTTATTTAAAAAATACCTAACACTGCCGACAAGTGACTTAATATGGGAAAATTCTTGTTGAATTTAATTGAATGCGGGTGTTATCTTAAGCTTCGAATATCTCAAAAAGTAAGTAAAATTTAAATATAAGGTAAATTACAAACTTACCTTATTTTTTGTTCTACAAGTAATATCTGAATAAAAATATAGTGTGTTCTATTTGGAAATCTTGAAATTTTGTTAATTGAATTCGCCAAAACGGCGTCACCTATTTGGGAGACCCTGTGTAAATTGAGTGGCAAATTGGTTGAGTAGTGGCATCATCTCCTTAGTCTGTGGTTAAATTTTGGTTGCAATACCTGGATCAGTAGCGTCACAACGCAAATTTATATGGGGCAATCAAAATATGCAAAAAACACATAACCTCAATTTTTACCGAAACTATGCAAAATTCGAATAGTTCTTAAGAAAGTGACCTTATTTTAACCAAGGAGTTGATGTCGGTGGGCACACTTTTTAGACACCCTGTTTCAACAAAATTATCATATTTTAAATCTTCAGAAGAGTGCAATAAACTTTTGTAAGAAACTTTTTTTCGTATCTCCTATGGGTTTCCAGATCGTATAGTACCGGGCGTTCAATTTATCTTTAATATTTTAATTGGGTGTAACTTTTTTGTTTTTAGAGATATCAAGATAAACAAATAACAAAATGTAGGGTTAGTAGCCAATTTTTTTTCCAAGTGACGTATAAAACAAAACACTATCAATATTATGGCATATAAGCCTACAACATATTTTTTTAAATGGAACACTCTGTAGATTATACATATTTTTAATAGAATATCTTATTCCGATAACAATGATGTAACACACTTTATATTTTAGCCCACTCGTTTTTGACAAATCGACAAAAATAGGAAGTTTGTATATAATTGCCCTGACTGACAAATAAAAATATGTTTATTTGACATTATTGCCCAAGTCATTATTGTTAAAATGGTTTTTCGCGAATTTACCATCCGTGAAAGGAGTGATATGCCTTAAGTATACTTTCTGAATAATAAGTGCAACCGCAACTCGTCGTCAGTATAGACTTTATTCAGAGCACTGAGCTCCTTCAAAACAGATATTTCCAAGGGGGTTAAAGAAATTTGCAGAAAACGGTAACGTATTAAATGCTAAAAAGGTATGCCGGAATCATAATGTTTTAAATGAATAAAATAAGGCAAACATATTAGGATTCAGCGAAGAACATCCAGTTTTCTCTATTGCTGGAGTATATGAAGAGACATGTATTTCTCCGGGATCAATTATCTCAGTTTTGAAAGAATATTTAAATTTCTTAAAACTCAAAAAGTAAGTGCCGAACAATGTTAAAGTAGGATGCAGTTTTGTTTGCGATTTTGAAAAAAACGTAATGAGAATAATAATTTTTTTAAAAACATTTTATGGATTGATGAAAGTTCTTTCACTACAAGAAAGAGTTGTAATAGACAAAATAGGCGATAGTCGTCTTTAAATAATCCTAGACAAATACCTCTTAAATATCAAGGCAAAAACGTGGAATATCCCAGGGGTTGGATAGGGAACGGCTTAACAATAGATTGGCCAGCCAACAGCCCCGACTTAACTTTAATGGATTTTTTCTTTAGGGGACACATAAAAAAACACGTGCACAGAACTCAGTATAATAATGTCGTGGAACTTCGGCAAAGGATTTCAGAGGCAATCAATCAAAGAATTGTTTATTTGAGTGTGTCTTGTTATTTTTAGTGTTTTTGTTCTACTTTAATTTATAAGTAATTATTGTTGGTTGTTGCAATCAGTCACGGCGCTCTTTGAAATTATATAAAATTTTGTCAAAAACGAATGGACATTATTATAATAAACACCTATATAATAAACAGGGTGTTCCATTTCAAAAAATATAATGTAGGCTTATGTCAGAAAATTGATAGTGTTTTGTATTACACGTCACTTGGAAATAAGTTAACTACTGACCTTACATTTTGTTTTTTTTTGTTTAGCTTGATGTCTCTAAAAACGAAAAGTTACAGCCAATTAAAATGTTATCAAGATGAATTGAACGCTTGGTACAATATAATGTTTTAAAATTATTTTTGTCAATTGACACAAAAAAAAATTGAGCCGTCAATTCCAGTACGCTAGTTGTATCCAAGTTCTCATTGGTATGAGTTGTACGTTTTTCTTATTTTTTTCTGATTTGACCTTTCTAATAAATTTCCACGTTTCTGAGTAGCTTGTCAAATAGCCTATTGTGAAACCACCCTTATTTTTATCATCGAAGGGAAAAAAAAGAAATAGTAAAACGGGATCGAATCGGTGACAGTCGCGTCGGCGGGGGGAAACCCAAGAGTTGCGTGTCCGCACGGAGAGGCGGCCGCCGTCGCCGCCGCCGTCTCGATGGCGGCATCGTCAGCGGCGGCCGCGACTCCTCGCCGCCTGGGCTTACATAATTAGTCGGGGTCGCGGCGGCGTCGGTTCGGGGGGGTAGTCGGCGTCGTCGTTGCGCAACTCAACCCGCCGCCGCCTCCGCCGCCGCTCGCCCCACCTCGTCGCGCCGCCGGACGTTCCCGCGATACGGCGACCTGCGCCCTCGCGTATAGTCGACGCGTCGCGCCTCAACGCCACGACCGGCAGTCCCTTGCTATCGCCTGACCGCTTAGCTTGCCTGCCGAAGCTTTCTCAGAAACGTTGTGTCTGTTTCGAGGCGCGCACACATTCAAAAAAAAAAACGAAGCCCACCGACCACCACTTTAAAATAATATAAATCGACTCTCTTTCTCTGTATCGACTCGCCGCTCTCTCTGTCACTTTGAAACGCGGGTTGGATATTTTGTCCGATTTTCAAATAAAATACGCTCGCGTGGGTGGCCGGCCGCAACCCGCGTTATATTTCGACCATCTGCCTGGAAAATTGCCCGCAGTCGAGAGAACAACATCGGAAAGGAAAACAACGTGCGGTGCGTAGCCAATTTCCTTTTCTTTTCGTTTTGTTTTCCTCCCCCGTTTGCGACCTTCGGTCGGATGTCCGCGGGTTAGTTTTCGGACGACGAACCACCACCAATCATCACTATTTTGGATTTTTTAACGAGCCGCCACCGCGACACCGCCGGCAAAGTTGAGGATCATCTGCGTGCGTTTCGCCGGAACTTGCAATGTGAGTGTTGATCGCAGTTTGATGATCTAGTCTAGCATGTGGCCCTACTACACCCGGCGAACCCGGCGAAAACAGAATATTTTAAGATTTATTTCTAGACGAATTCAGCAATCAAGGTTCCGATAAAAAATTTGCAAAATAAATGTAATTTTATCTGTACGACATAATATAAACCAATAACGTTTTACTTCATTGTGTGATGCGACGCGATCCTGTTGTCAATCCATCACATCGTCCAAAATTCGTTCCAATAAAATGAATGGTTTCGAATTGTAGCCCATATCCATTCACTACGCATGTTTACACATTTTGCAATATATCATAGTGCAAAAAAGAAATTCTGATCTTGCCTCTGTGAAATTGTTTAGAGTGTTTTGTGAATCGTCTTAAAACGTGGGTTGGGAATCAAAAAAATTAACTTCCCCTCAGCAATCGCTTAGTTGCCAAATATGGTGCAGTTCTACTATCCACTTCCGCAAAAAGAAAATAGCAACACGGCAGTGCTCTTCCATTAACAGAATTGTAGCAATACCAAATTTCTCTAAATGAAAAATTAAATTAATTTTAAAATATAGTTCGAAAAAGATAACTACCGTTGCTCAAAAAGAAAATTGTGAAGTTGCCTCTCTGGTTTTGAAGCAGTTTAGAGTGCTGAATTTTTATATCTCCATACCAAAGATTCAAAATTACAGTTCGGCAAAAAATATTGTTTACGAATTAAAATATTAACGAATTTACTTTTCTTTAACAAATCGTTCTCTCAGTTGGCAAAAATGATGTAATTCCACTGGCTTCCTCCACAAAAAATAGTATAAACTTTTATCAACAATTGTTTACAATTGCAGCAATATACGATTTCTCTAAAATGTCCAGAAAAAGAATTATATTTCGAGAATTAATTTTAAAATATATGACGTGGAAGTTGATTAGCGTTGCTCCGAAGAATAATTGTGATCTTGTTTCTCTGGTTTGGGGTGATTTTTTAATTTTTGCATCTCCGTATCAACGGCAAAAATGTCAAAATTACAGTGTTTGTAAAAACACGGATTACGAATTAGAAAATTAGCGAAATGTGTCCACAATTATTTGAAATAATGACAAAATCCGATTGCGTTTGGGTTTTGCAAGGGTGGGATAAAAAAATGATCACTGTCACTCATAAATATAGGGAAAAAAATGTGATATTTTCGCTCTAGTTGTGAATTCATTTAGAGTGCTCATCTGCATCAATTTCAAAGAAATTACAATTACAATTTGTTTAAACACGGATCATGAAGTAAATTAACCAAACCAAATTGCCGAAAATGGTGCAGTACTCCACAAAAAAAGTATTTTAAAGCAGTGTTTTATTAAGAATTATTAAAATTGTAACAATATTCAATTGCGACACAATTTTACACTAAAATTTTTAGAAACGGTATCAGATTTTCAGAAGAAATTTTAAATGGAATATGTGTCGTAAAAGACTCTCCACCCGATCGTGGCTCAGAAAAAAATTGTGGTCTTGTCTCTCTGGTTTTGAAACCGCTCTTTAAATGTTTGTAGTATATCTGCTTCAACGCCAAAACATCTATAAATACTCGTTCAGAATTTAAAAAACTGACTAAATTTACTTCAACTCATTAAATTATTCTATTAATTAAAAATAAACAAACTTACTTTTGTCAATAGATTCCTGTAAATTTGATCCGTTCCTATCGATTGTGTGCAAACTAAGGATAACATAACATTTTTATGAAAAATTACTTGCATACGGTATAATAAGATTCAAATTTCAACGTCAACCTTTGCCGTCTGAATATATTTGTATCTGTATGATTTTTTGGATTTGGATCCTTCGCATGTGATTTGAAAAAGTGTAAGGCTTAACCTCGGGCTTTAAATAAATTACAAAGCAGAAACTTTATTCGAAATTTAATCACTATCACTATACGCCGTCTAAACATATTTATTTATGAGAATTTTGTCTACCATAATTATATTATGCGCTCGATTACCCACGTTTTAGCAAATGCCGGCATAAACGCTGCTTTTTACTTTAATAAAGTTTTCCGTTTGTAGCATTTGTTAAGAAGAAAAAATGTTTTATACGTAACATGAAGCAATTTGATATTGTGGTTAACTATTGCAGTCTATACCCATTTGATACCAAAACTATTTCACTGCTCGTGGTTAGTTTTATCAAAAACCGACCGTATTTATTTGCTTTCTACGTGCCGGGTTTTGAGTCACCGCAATCCTTTTATAGTTTAAACGTTCTCTATTCTGTTCTTATATCCGTGTTTTAGATATTGTTTACTCAATGCCTGCGATGTCGCGATGTTTACGATATTTACATTTGTCGACAAACCGGGCGCGGAGGTAGAAATGTGTTTCTCTCGTGAAGTGGTTTCAGAAGTTTTGCGGTATTAAATTTTAAAAATCGAATTATGCCGTGGTGTTTTGGAATATTTAAGACTAAACGAATGATAAAAATGGTAATGACGGAGTTTGTGATTTTAAATAAAACAATTAGAGAAATTCCAATTTTATTACGAATACAAAAGAAATGTGATTTCGCCCACATTTTGTCGTTTGATTCCGGATTATCAATAATAAGTGTGTTCCCAATATCATCACCTCATTAGACTCCTGCTAGATTTTGAATACATAGTGCCCACGTTTACTACTAATTGGTTCATTTACTAATCTAAACTGTATCCTCATTTGGAACGCACCCCAACCGGTATGACATTTGGAAAATGTGTGACAGTGACAGTAACTTTACTAACTTTTCTAACAAATTTGTTTGTGGTTATATGCATTTTGTCCACTTGCAAAAAATAATAAGTGGTATCTTAGCTGTGATTTTTGTAATTAAGTGGTTAGATAGTTACAAAAATATATAATTTTAAAGCCACAGTAACGTAAAAAGAATTCTTGTTTTTTACCTCTACATTAGATCATTTTCGTCACAACCATCGCTATTCGTTTCTTCACCGATGCATTTTTTAAGACAATTTATGCTTGTTTTTCGAAATATTCTCTGAATCATAATCTTTGAAATTTCATATCAATCTTTAGTATGGATGAATCCAAGGGTACTCAAACGAACTAATTCGTTGGATCAAATTTTTTGTTCTGCTCAAAATGACTAGTTTGTGTTCATTTTGTGTGGGATCCTGCCGGTTGTTTATATTATTCATTAACTAAAACCCGTTCATAAATAGGTATTGTCCACTACTACACCGTTGGTTCTAAAACTGACTGACAGTATTCGAGTCGGAAGATCATATATTTCAGATTTTTTCGACTAATTTCGATCGGGTTGGTGATTATAAAAATGTGATAATGTTATCTCGTTAATGTGCAGTAAATTTAAGGAATGTCGTTAAATCATTTTATTTGATTATACACGGAATTCCCCAAAGTTAAGTTTAACTAAATATACGGGATACGTAGACAAATATTTTTAAGGGCTTCTTACAATTTCCTATATAAAAATCTGGAGTGATAGAAAAGTTATGATAACTTTTTTTTTTCTTAATGGAAGAACCAAAATTAAAATGTGCGTGTAATCACATAGGGCAAGTTGAGTGTGTCATTTGGACCACTTTTTGGAGGGAACGCGTTGATAATAAATATGGTTAGTTTCTAATAAAACTTCCGGCAATTAGGTCGGGGCCCGCATTGTGATATTCCGCGAAATTTGAAACTGAAACGAATACGCGCGGGAACGCGCTGACCGCAAATTTTCGTATCAGCAATTCGTAGCCGACAAACACGCGTAAAGTTTCGAGCTCGGATAACTAGAAATCCAGTACTTGCTTGTTAGGAAACGGTTTGGTCAACGCGTTTACGTTCCACGTGGGTGGGGCACGATGGCCATTACACGGCTTGGAGAGGAAAACGCCAGTGGATGAGTTTTCCCGCAATCTGCTTCTCGGTTGCCTGTTTGTTCGATTTCCCACCCCATATGCGTAGAATCTAGGGCACCACACTGGGATTACGTGATTATGTTATGATAATTGTGCTTATGCGTATGTTTATATAACCGTTTGGACGTAATATTGAATATCGATTAAATTAACTTATCTGTTAATTGCATTGGTGAGACCATAGTTAGTAATTTGATTCAAGCGGTGAATAAGTCATAAGCTTTGAGGAAAATTAGCTTTGTTGGCAACACCGCCCGTTAACATTGCTGTGAGATATGTGTACATATGAAACAACTTTTTTTTAACGAATGCAAGTAATGCAAATATAATTTGCAAAAGTAAATTTTGGTTGTCATTTGGAGCCATAGATATAACGTCTACACGAATATTAGTGAGAGTTTTCAGAAGAAGTTTTTAAAATGCCTCTCTTACAAAGAACATGTTGTGCTTAATCATCTATGATTTAAGTGACTTAACGTATTATAAGCTATTGACGTTAGGGGATGCAGGGGTGCTAATTAATATTTTTTTTGCAATTGGATGGCATGAAAGGTCGTGTAAACTGCTCTGAAATATTAGTAAGGATACCATTGAATATAGCACCTCCCACTTTCGAACTAAACCCTTATTTATGACTACCCTCAGGAACACCGATAATTCTCAAAATTCTCCCCTGATTTTAATACGACTCAAACCTTGATTTGTTCACTAAATCACATGATCACAAGATCGCCTAGAAAATGTCCTTACCATTTGTTTGATTTTTGTAATCTTGGTAGTTTTTTTTTTCTTTTTTAATACTACTATTTTCTCTACGTTTTCTCTATTTATAAAATTGACTTTAGCCGAGGTTTTGTAGTTCATGTGTTTAATGCGCTTTTCTAGTTTAATTTTTTATTTTTATATCTTTTTAAATGTATTTATGATATTTTTCTTAATTTTGTTAATAATGTAACTTTACATTATTACGATCTTTTTTACAAAAGTATTTTCAGTTGATCAAAAGCTGATGCAAATGCGAATTTTATAATGTATTTAGGTAGAATTATTAAATCTTAAAATTAATTTTTATTATACTAGAAA